CTCCTCCTTCTCCTCCTCCTCCTCCTCCCCCTTCTCCTCCCCCTCGCTCCAGAGAGGTTCCCAGGGATATGGAATCGGACCTCGAGGCCGCCCTCGAGACACCAACACGCGTCACGGAGGTCTCCAAAAGGCTACCCATCGGCTCCGGAGGCTTCCCCAGAGGCCCCCATGAAGCCCCTCAGAGGCCACGCATCTGCGCCCCAAACGGCGTTCCTGGAGCGTCTTCTGGGGGCATCGCGAAAGAGCTAGAGGCCTCCCTTAAGGTCCCGATGAGCGCCACATGGACCTCACGTGCACGTCATACACGATAATCCTCAGGAGGGAAACAAAACACACAGACAAAATGAATCGTCGATTCCCCAGAAAATATCAGAAAATATGGGAAGTGGGGGGGAAGACAAAAACCCAGAAAATATGGGAAAAGATGGGGAACCTTTTTATTGGTGTGTATCTATTTGTGTGTCCTGGGGCCCCTTCAATTCCTAGAGAGGCTTCCGGGAACATCGATTCGGCCTCGGGCCTGTCACACCCTTCCTGGAGATGCGACGCCGGGCGTCGGACACGCGATTCGCCGTCGGCATTCCCAAGTCCCGCGTGCTCTGCCTGCTGCGATTCGCCGTCGCTGGCGGTTGCTGCCCTCGGGTTAGTACCCTCGGAAAGGGGCGGGGGAGGAGGAGGAGGAGGAGGAGGAGGAGGAGGAGGAGGAGCAGGAGCACGAGCACGAGCAGGAGCAGGAGCAGGAGCAGGAGCAGGAGCAGGAGCAGGAGCAGGAGCAGGAGTAGTAGGAGCGGGGGCGACAACTATGCAGTTCTTAATGCGTTCCTGGTCTTCACGCTGCGCTTGAATTGTCTCGCGATGTGGTGGCTGCCGCGCTGCGTGAGTTCTTGTGGCCGTGCTCTCCTCCTCCTCCTCCTCCTCCTCCTCCTCAAAAAAGAAGAAGAAGAGGAAGAAAAATAATAATAAGAAGAAGAAGAAGAAGTAGGATTAGGAGGAGGAGGAGGAGAAGGAAGAAGAGGAGGAGGAGGAGGAGGAGTCAAGCTAGCCAGCTCGAGCGAGTGAAGCATGACATGCTCATTCCCACCTGCCCTCCCACAACATAAGAAACAATGCTGGTGCAACTGGGGGCCGAAATCAGATCGGCAAGGTGGTTTGCCACAGCTGACGCAGCCGCGATGGCGGTTACCGCTGGCGCGTCTTCAAGACTGCGCTGGCATTTCAGCACGAGCCGAGGAGGCCCCAGGAAGACTCAGGAGGCCTCGTGAGGCCCCAGGAGGTTGCAGGAAACCCCAGCGAACCCCAGGAAGCCCCAGGAGGCTTCAGGAGGGCCTAGGAAGCCCCAGGAGGTCCCA